AAGTAGTGACGTGGTACGCGATCTCCGGTTCTCCAAAGCAAAAGGGATCCGCGAACAATGCTGGAGAAATCTTGCGTGCTCGATGACCAAACACGGTCTAAGTCCAACGGCCATCTTCGCGTGTCTCCCTTTCGTGAACGAGACACGTGCGTTTGCAAGCCGCTCATATATGGCCTCGGCGAAACACAGTTTACAAAGAGAACGCGCAATGCACCGTAAAAGATATGGCAATGATAGTTAGGACATGATCCAGTTTGCAGCGATAGACACGAAACTAGGATAACCAGAGCGATAAGAACTGGTTTAATCAGTGTGCACGTTTGTACGACATTTTAGAAACTTATTTATATAATCAATGGTTTAGTTGTAAAAATAAATGTTGAAAAAATTTTGAGAATAATATTTTACTATCGGCAATTTAAAAAAAAAAATATATAATTTATACTCATGTTTAATTTTATTATTTATATTTTTGTGAACATATTCGTATAAATTTCTAAACTACCTTGGCAATATTAATTTTCTTCTTGGAATTAATATATTATATGATTTTATATGATTTTTCTCGAGTAATTTGAGCGAGCTGTTGCGACAGATGTTTTAATAAATAGCGGCAGTTGTGCCATCAATGTTTTCTTTTGGTAATGTTATCTCGCTTGGCCCTTTTGATTGTCGTTAGCCGCGTAATCATTTTTCGATAAGACGATAACACGTAGGAGGATCTAGAAAAGGGAGCTTGAGATAGGCGAAGACAAGAGCTTTCGCGAACACATCTGTTGCTCTCATAAAGTACCAGCCGGCTGAGTAATGATAACGAAAGTCATTGTTACCAAATGACATCAAAGTGGAAAAATATCGTATTTAGATTAACTTTATTATTTTTTTATGTACTTAGATCTGCGTACTTTTCAAAGTGATAAATATTGTTATTTATATTTATATGAATTTTGGTAGCGAAAAATTCGAAATTTCGTGACAGATCTAAAACGATTCTTGCTTATCACAGTTGAACTTTAAGTGTAGTGTTAATCTATTACAGTGTTAGAAAATAATATAAATCTGAATTAATATTGCTCAATTATTATGGCTAATAGGTTAAATTATTTCGCACTTTTTTCCGCTTTTTTATCTTACCGAATATCCATTTACCAAGAATAGCCGTTCTTCTTTCCTTCCTTTCCTCTTTCTGTCTTCGCCGAGAGTTGGTGCGGCGCGTTTTTTTTATTCCCTGGCGCGAATCGGAATTTGTTCCCGCGACGGGCGGTGGCGGCAGCGGTCGGGAACAAGACGCTTCCTTCGTCTGGACTGATTCCTGAGGAACCCCTAAAGATAGCGACACCCCGCCACGTGTCGGCTAACAGACTGTTGCGACCGTTTCGTCATTCTGAATGACGTTTCTGCGAAATTCATTGCGATTTTAGTACATCGGCGGTTCGCAAAATTATATGGATTGTAAAAAAATTCTTCCAACACCATAGAAATTATATAACAATTTATCACGAGCTTAAATATGATATTAATTTTATAATATGATATAATTTCATAACAGTGTGTTTACGCAAATTAATTTTCGCGCCAAGCGCATAAATTCTTACGTTCTCGACATGCTCGTGTATACCGCGCTTAACTGAAGTATTTATGTATAGTATTATCCGTACATTAACGTTTTGCATAACATAATATACGTTCCGTTACATAGTTTCTCTCGATCTTACGGCCTGTAATTCAGTATCACGACCACGCACATAACTATCTAAGGAGAATGTTTAACGCGCGGAATAACTGACCGTGACTGAGCATGCGAACGAGTGTTTATGTCCTGCAAATTTCCATAGATTTATGATCTTTTATCTTTTTCTATGCCTTCGCGCTTTCTATTCTAAAAGCTATTTATCATCTCCGCATTATGCGATTTATAAAACAGTTTAACGATGTCGTGATGTAGCATGATTGAAACTAATAAGAAGATAATATTTATCAAATTTTTATTTTTTTAAGAAAAAATTAATTATCCAGAAATTGCATTACATTAAAAAAACTTTATATTTATTACTTTTTTATATCAATAACATTACATCATTTTCGCTGAGCTAAAATCAGAACTCCGGATTTATTATTTTACTAATCTTTTATCTGTGTCTCAATATATTTTTATTACAAAGATAATAAAATAAAACTAGCCTTGAAAAGAATACGTGAAACATTTCTCTTCGTGGTGTCGGATGTGTAGAATTTTTTTTCAACTACGCTGACTACAACAGTTTTTTATCTCGATGCGACACGAAGATAAATCAATATGGCTAAGTGCAAATAAGCGTATTTACATGCGCATATCCGCACACGTATATTTCAGGATTACATTGTGCACGGTTTATTTTTGTTACGGTAACAATCTCATGTTGCAAAATTATTTTTGCTGCGATCGATTTATTTTTCGTTTGCTCGTTAAAAGTGTCAAAGGAGAAAAAAATTTATCATGATTTTTATTACTTTGTGATTTGATAAATCGTTACAATAGACAACAAGTCAATCGAAAGAGAAAGAGAGAATGAGTGAGAGAGGGAAAGAGTTATTGTTCTGAAATGTTCGGCGCCTCAGGCGTGATCGGATAGCGCATACTTAGTGAAGTATTTCTCATTAGGGCGACTCGGCAGCCAATCACGACAATGTGTATAAATTAATAGTTTACCGTTCGGCACGTGAACGTAAAGTGACTAAATTTGCGAATGCGCTCTACAGAGTTAATTCTCCTAATTTGTAGTATATCCAGAGTATAATTTGCGATAGATTCTGAAATATGAGCGAACGCGATTGAAAACATTTCGCAAAACTGTGTAAAGAACAGTGTCTCGTTTTATGCGCACATAACTAATAACGACACATTGGATATAGCGATTTCTATCAAGGCAACTTTTACAAAACCATATTTTTCTTTTTTTTGTTGCAGCAAAATTATCTTATGAAGTTCGGTTACTTACCTCAGAGTGACTTTGAAACAGGAAATTTACGGACGGAGGATCAACTCAGAGATGCTATAAGAAATCTGCAGGTAAGCACAAGTTATGTAATAGTTAATATTTTTAGTTTGATTTTATTTTGATTTAGATATAAAATAAATTATAAATTTTTTATTTTGCTTATTTCTCTCATTACGCGTATAGTATTAGAGCTTCAATTACAACACTTTTGTAAATTCGTTACTTTTTAATTTAAAATCTATTTGCGCATTGGTTTTTGTAATGCCGATCGAATTAATTATTATTCTCGTAGTAACTCACATAATGTAACATCTTGAAGTAACATACACGCAGGAACTACATAGTGAACGAAGGAAGGTTGATATTCCATAAGAGTACGTGTTCATCGCGAAAACACGATCGATCGACGGATTCTGCGAGAGTCATCGCGAGCGAATCGATGGAAATCCCGTCGGAGGAAATAGGAAAATGGAGCAAATGCCCCAAGGGATTTTGTCGAACGTCGACATATATCCCTCTTCTTTTCGATTCTCATGTAAATCTTCATTCAGCGATGGCGAGTAGCAGCCTTATCATTTTTCCGTCACTGCATTTCTAACCGTTGTCCGGATAGGATGGGGTTGGGGAGGATTGCTGATCTACGGGAGGGATCAAACTCAAAACGGAACACACCGGAATGCTTTGGACATTCTTTGGTCTTGGAACTCGGGTTCCATTCATGGAATACGATTCTCGATGGTTTTATCGATAATCGCGTTCGTCAGATTCCAGACGCGTTTCTGGTTGAAATGCTCGTAAACGTTTATTCCTGTTCGAAAAGAAAAAGGAAGACTCTTGAAGGAAGCAATTGTGTTTCTGGAGCAAACTCCTCAAGCGATAGAAGGAAATTTCTTGAGATACCAATTCTCAAGAAGAGTTATACTTTGCAAAATATCGCAATAGCAATTTTGAATTTATAATGTTTTTTCAAACATCTTTTTCTTGGACATTTTGTTTTACTTTTTTGAGTGATTACAATTTTGATAAACCGTGTCTCTTTATGTTCCTGCCAGAAATTCGGCGGCATTCCTGTGACAGGCGAGATCGATGAAAAGACGAAGAAATTGATGAAAGCCAGGAGATGCGGACTGCCGGATCAGCCGGATCCCCGATTGACCAGGACGAGGCATAAGCGTTTCACTATTCACGGACAGCAGTGGCCGTATCGAAATCTCACCTGGAGGTAAGTACATTTGAAAAGTATTGGTAAAATATTGTTATGCATGCAAATAAAACATCGCAAGACTCGCAAGCTCGAAAATGCGTCTACAAGGCGCTCGTTATTACCTTTAAACATTTCTCTTAGTTGACATAGATAGACAAAAAAAAACATAAAATTCTAGTTCTAATTATTTCTATGGTTGTATATATTTATCTCCATTTCGAAAACAAAGTCCGAAAACAAAGTTGCGTACACACGAGAATGAATTTATTCTGCAATTCTAAAGGCAACAACAAATTTATTTTTGCGCAAGGCGTCACCACGTCTTTACACATTACTAATACATTCTGTACATTTATCTGCGTTTAAATTACTCGAGAATTCGTACAATTTCGACGAGGACGAACTTGGGGCAAACTGCAAGTCACGCGCCGTCAAGATGCAGCGATGCGTCTTTTGCAGTGACGGCGAAAACTCGCGGACGGAATTATCGCGATATGGCGCGAGTGACGTTAATAATATCCCCAAGTATTTCCCGACGCGACGATAATTCATCTGTAGGTACCTGTTGGTTAGAGACGGTCTAAACAGGATGTCTGGCCCCTTAATTGCGGGCTTCCTCGTGTCGGGGCCTCGCCCCGCATTAATGCTCTAACGCGGCTCGGAAATGCCATTGACATTGTTGGTCTTCAGCCAGCTGGCGGAATCTCTTTCGACTCCTCGCGAATTACAGAACGATGGAAATATCGCACGAATATTTTATTATAAACGAAATATGTTTCCTTTAGAAAATATGGAGCTAGCTAATACGCGGTAGTAACACATCTTTTTTGATAAGCTTTTTCTTATTGTAACACACTTTAACTTTAATCTTTTGAGTCTCAAAAGTTTATGCTTTTTATTTTTGATAGCTAATACTTCTTTTTTTCTTTTTACTTAGTTTTTTATGAAATTTTTTTAAAAATGTGTGAAATGTTATTTCTTTTTGTACATACCGTTATCAATATTTTAATGCCGTGACGTCTATGACAAATAATTTTATAATAATTGTATATGCAACATATACAACATAGACAATAATTGTATATGCAAAAATAAAATATATATGTTAATTTTGTTGATGCAAATAGATAGGGAAAAATAAATTAAAACAGAAATCAATAATTAATGAATATTGAATATGAACGATAAAACAGATCTCTGCGAATGCAGCACACTGTGCTGGTATCAAAGAAAACTTGTGAAACTTTCGCGTTGATATGGAGAGCAGCTGCAATATCGGCTTTATTCTGGTGCATCATGTGGCACCCTCTGGCATCCTCTGGCAATTACTTGATAGATGCAATTTTATTGATTTGTAATTAAACCGTGTTAATTAAAAAAAAAATTAAACATTCGAATAATTCGCGTTTACTTTTAATCGTTGACACTCTTAATCGTACATATTTGTTTCAAATTTATTGCAATTTTACTTTGATTTCTCAGGCATAATTAAACGTTAAAACTTTTAGGCCTTGAATTATATTCTTTAATTAAATTTTATAATTAAACGTTTTGAAGTATTTTAGAATAATGTAGAGAAATTTATTTGTAGCAATATAATTTTAATTTATTTGAATCGTACTTAGGTATGTAATATTTTTTTATTTCTTACTATATTTATATACTATATTGCAAGAACTCGTATATTTTTTGAATATTTTAAACACTATTATCCTAAACACTAAATTATTAGAATATATTTTTGCAAAAAAGATATGTATGAAAAGATAATTAATTTTGATAAAGAAATTAATCTTAAAATAAATTCCAGAAATAGCTCAATTGTTTATTATTTGTTATCAATTACGACTATTATTATTGTCAATTAACTATGCATTGTTTGAAGCGCATTTACGCGATCTCTCGCGATCTGATGCGATTGTTCCAATCTTACGATATTTGACGACTGTTATTACTCGTACGCACTAATTGGTGCGAATCCTACACCGAGCTCATTAATCAGCTGTCTTAACGAGTCAGGTCTTCCGACGACAGGAACCGAGAACCGTCTAACGAGAAACATACATGTAATTTTTACCCTTTACGCAACCCCATTCCTGAAAAATTTGCGTGCTGTATCTGTCGGGGCAATCCGAATCAAAGTGCGTTGTCGACAGCACAGATTGGGTAGGTTACGTGATTAACTTTGTTATCCGGTTATCGCGCTACGACTCCCCCGCGAATTCCGTGAACTCTGCGAAAGAGGACTAACTGGACATCCAAAGCCTTTGTGTACGTTCCGATCGGGGCAAATTTGGCGGATTTTCGCGAGAGTGAACGGGTTCGTTTGCCTTTCTAACTGAACTCTATTTGTTCCCGTCGCGCGCGTAACATCAAAGAAAAATACGAGATTTATTTTATCGAGAAGCTTGCACAAGAATTATCCTAGCTATTACAAAATGAAATTTTATATTCAGAATATTCTAGAAGGATAATTGTCTTTTTTTCTTCACAAATTTTAATTAATGATCCAATAATTAATCTTGATTTAATTTTTGCTTCGAAAATAAAGTTTTGTTTTCAAAATTGTTTAAATAAATAAAAAAAAGTAAAAGAATACGTTTATATATTGTAGTTTCTTAAATACAAATATAATGGAAATTAAATTTTTTAATTTGCAACCTAAAATGCGATTAAGTGCAATTTTAAATGCCGACGAAATAGGAGTAGAGACGAGCGCCGTAAGTTAATGGCAAATGCGGGGTGAGAAATTAGCGGCGACGGTATTTCCGCTAATTTTCCCCAGGTCTTCAAATATAACGTAATTTAAAATTAGCGTCGTCTAAACGGAGGTTTCGTATGTTTGGACACTCATAAATTATGTGTTTTCTCATGACTAAATTTTATTTAAGTAAAATTCAACACTTAATTCAATTAAATTAATTCAGACTGCACTAAATATTTATGCAAACTCGCGAGTTTAATTCGTAGAAAGACATACAATAATTTTTTGGAGAATATAAAGTTTTTCTTTTTTTTAATTTTTAATTTAAAATAATGTTAAAAATTTCGTAATATCATAATAGTGTTCCAAAATCGCTAATTGTTAAAACGGCGATATTTAGAGTCATTTTGTGTACTTGCAAGAGACTTGCAAGAGACTTGCAAGAGACTTGCAATAAAAACGATATATTGCAATACGAGGATCTGGGTATTTCACTTGGGTAGAAATTGCGAGTGGATATAGTATTGGCTTAAGGATCGTCACTGTTTATGAGACAGTTGAATGTTTCTATGGTTGACTGCATGAATCTTGGTAAGGATAGTAGGATTTGTCGTTGTCCTCGTCGTTTTACGCGACAGTTTGTACAGCCAACGGAGCTTTGAGGAGGCACGATGAATCCGCAAGGCTAGAAGTTGAAAGCTGATCTATTGTGTTTGTCTTTGCGAATAAAGTAAGAATATATCATTCTACAAAAGCGCGTATAAAACACGGTTTTACTGCTTTACTAAAACATTCAATAATGTTAGATTTCTTGAATAAGAAAAGGAATTAATTTTATTCATGAAAAATATATTTATGATATAATTTCGCGCGCGCGCGTGTGTGTGTGTATGTGTGTGTGCGCGCGTGTGTGAGATGAAAAATACCATTTACAGGGATTATTTTGTTAATGATTAATAAAAACATTCAAAAGTGATAAATAAACATTTTCCCAGTGGCGGCTATAAACGAAACTCACGAATTATTCAGTCCGATTTATTTATGGATTTTTGAGATCTAAATCAATCGCGTATTTTCAATTTGACTAAAAGTCAGATATTGAAAATACGCGAAAAAATTAGTTTCAACATCGACAATGTCATATATCATTCGAACGATAAAAAGCTGACTTTTCGTGAAAAAGTCAAAGAAGATTTGGCTCTATTTTTTTAACTTCTATCTCTTTTTCTCCATTTCAGATTTCTCCCTCTTTTTCTCGATTTAGTTTCCTTAATATCGAGCGCTTAATATCAAACTTTGAAGTCAAGTGCATAAAAGAAGGTGAGGCAGTAGACGATGATACTTGAAACGGCAGTTTCAAAATTTTGCTCACCGGATGATACGAGCGAAATTAATGAAGTTAGTGTTAATCTCGGCGCTTTTCTTAGCAGGTTCTTTTGGATAATGCGCGACTTTTGCATAATGGAGAACTTAATGTTACGCTTGTTGAAGAATTCAGAAATTGTTTCTCGACCGATTTTCGTAACAAAAATTATTTTTGCTCATATATCTATTATATTTTATACACAGGAGATTTTATCTAGCCTCATTGTCTGAAATAATTTTTGTTGTTATGAAAATATTTTCTCATTTTTTTACTAGAGCATTCCTTGACCAAATCACTATATTATCATTCTGTTCTTGATAAAAGCTCCGTATCATTCTTCAGAGTTGAAATATTACACGCATTACGCTGAAACGGCAGTTCGTTCTGTTCACCGCGAGTAAAGCATTTTCACATGTTTTACATGGACGTGACGAAATTCGCCAGTCAGAAACCTGAGCACCGCCGCGTTATAGTCTTTTCTTCTACTGTCACCGAGAAAAAGAGAATAAAAGAGAGAGTTGAGAGTGCAAATTGAATCGAAAATACGTATACAAGAGAATTTTTACGAGCACATTCTCGAGATTGAAGCGGAGAATTTTTGTTCGAAGCAATTGACACAAAGTACACTATAAGCGCTTAATAATATATATTCCTACAACTTTGTATGTTTCGACTTACGATCGAAAATCGTGCAAAATATGCCCGTCAATACATATGATGCCTGTTTACAATTTAATAGAATTTTCATCTTATCGCACGTCCGTCCGTCATACATGTTTGAATGATACTAATGTTTTCGGTGCTTACGTCATTTAAATGCGATACAGCGATACATTTTTTCTGAAGCCGAATAAAATATGAATGAGATTATTTAAAAGTTTAATAAGGATTTGCATTATAATCAAAATAAAATAAATGACGGAAAAAGATTTCCTGTGGAGAATTATA